CTAGGGGTATTTTAATTGGTATTTTAATTGGTTTTAATCAAATTTTAGCAGTGCAGCCAAATTCGAATATTTATTTTTAATTTTATTTTAGTATTTATATTTTGTATTGTTGAATTGTTTTAACTGGCTGTAAGCCGCCCTGAGTCCTCCGGGAGAAGGGCGGGGTATAAATCAAATAAATGTTAAATGTTAAAATGTTAAACTGTCTTTTTGGCAGAAAGCCAGATTAATCTTTATGAATATATGCCGACATGAACTACTATTAATTCCAAGTAGAATTCTTTATTCCTCCCCTTTTCCTCTTTTTTTCCCCTTCAGGAGCAGAATTCATCTGAGATTATCTACACTCCTGAAAACCTTGTGCGTTCTGTGCTTGAACTGTTTTTTGCTGGGACAGTAAGCACAAGCAATGCTTTGGTCTCCAGCCTACTTGTGATGGCCAAATTGCCACACCTTCAAGGTATAGAAATGAACACAAAAATAGAAAGGTTTCAGATCTTACAATATAATAATAATAATAATAATAATAATAATAATAATAATAATAATAATAATAATAATAATAATAATAATAATAATAATAATAAAAAAGTTAAAAAGGACATTGGAGGTCCTCTATTTCTCCTAGGGTATCCATGATCAATCCTCAAAATATTGCTGAGTAAAGTTTCATACATTACAGTTGCTTTTATGCAAATTTGTTGGAACCATTATGGAAATGATTTGCCATTGTCTTTTTCCTGAATGTTTTTATTGTTGTTGTTGTTGTTTTAAATTATCCAGTTCAGCTAACATGCCCTTTCCTTCCCCTTTTCCTTAATAGAGATACAGCAAACTGCATTAATGCCAACTGCATTAATTTAATACTAACTTTATGGGATTTCAGTATCTATGTCTGTGTGCCTTACTAACTAATATGCCCTAGGAACCAATGAGTCCTACACCAAGATTTCCAGAAAATGAGATTTCATGGGGATTTTGATGAAGCAACTGCTAATAGATAATTCTAGGGAACTTATAATCTTTGGATCATGAAGAGGGAGAAGAGATTGCATGATTTAACAACATTCCTCCTCCTTCCCCTCTTCCTAATTAGTTTAAATTCATTTAAATTTATCCACTGCATTTTTGGAGTAGAAATTCTAATCTTCAGATAGCCCGTATGGAAATACTTTATGTTTACTGGCTCTAGGCCTATTTGGAAGCCACACAGGTACATATACTATAAACAATATCAATCACATCTTAAATTAGAAGAATTGAAATGGTCTACATGGAGGGAGGAGGAAGAGGAAGAGGAGGAGGGTCATTTTCCTGTTTAGAAGTATCTTCTCTGTATGTGCTTTGAAAAACATGCTTCTATCCAAGTGGTAGTGGACTGCAGGTGCTCAGCACATGAGAGTAAAAGGCTGTCAATCTGGTCTCAATATGTTTTTCTCACAGCTAAAGTGCAAAAGGAGATTGATGAGGTGATGGGTACAAATCGCATTCCAAGCATGGAAGACCGTTTGAAGATGCCTTTCACAAATGCTGTTCTCCATGAGGTTCAACGGTGTTGGAAAGACAGTCTTGAGACCTTTCCACGGGCAACAACCTGTGACATAAAATTCCATGGTTATAACATTCCCAAGGTGTGGTGATACAACTATTGGTCAAGATATTCTGGGGGAGAAAAAACAAGATGACTGTTATGTATCCAGACATCTTTCATATTCAAGGCATTTTGAATATTAAACCAAATATCTCTCATTTCCCTCCCTCTTTACAGAGGGCTCCCCACTGACCTATGTTATTTACGGCAAGTGAGAACTGAAGATTTTTCTCTGCATAAAGTAGTGCCAATTAATGCCATCTGTTTCTTTCTTTTCCTTTAGTACATGGCTATTGTGCCAGTCCTCCCCTCTGTAAATTATGATCCTCTCCATTGGGAGACTCCAGAGAAGTTCAATCCAGATCATTTTTTGGATGAAAAGGGCCAGTTCAGGAAAAGAGATGCTTTCATGGCATTCTCAGCAGGTACCACCTTCTGGAACAGATTGATGCATTACAAAGCCATATATTTACCTGATCCATATTATTCATTTATCAGACACAATTCTAGCAGGTGTATTTCCTAAATAAGTTTTGTTTTCTTCTTTGCTAATGCAGGGAAGAGGGCCTGTCCAGGGGAGGCCCTGGCTCGGATGGAGCTCTTCTTGTTCTTCAGCACTCTGCTCCAGAACTTCACCTTCCATCTGGATGTGGACACCAAAGGCATGGATGTAATATCTTTCATTATGGATTTCAAAGATAACCAGTTCCCTTTTGTGCGAGCCATTAAACGTTGAACGCTAATCAAGAGAAGGAAAGAAATGGAGGATTTGGGGGGGGGGAATCTCAGCTGCAATTTTTTAGAAGAATTTTGGGATATTGAAGGATTTTGAGTGAAACACATCTGAAATACTTTTCTTTTTACATTTTCTTACTTAGTAGAGCCATATTTACTACCATAGAACACACTATTCTGGCATTCACGAGAGCTTATGATAGTATGCTATGTTTAAGAGGAATTTAAGAGGTTTTAAGAGAAGAGATACTCCAGAGGCTTCATTTAGCTTAAGAGAAAAGAATTGATACAACAAGGAATAAGTTAACACGAAAATGACATGACTGTTAATCTGCGATATTGCATACAATTTGGCATTAAGGCTATGCAGTACCTGAGATTGAATCTCCAGCAAGAAGCTTCAGAGAACAAAGGGTTGTGGGAACAACATCCCTCGCCAGCACCTTAAAGCAGCTATGTCTTTTTCTAGAATGATACTGGGCCTTCTGTCTATAGATGTGAAAAATAGAAGAACAATCGATGCTTTCAATACATTTTCTCTGAAAATATACACTTCCAAGTGAAATGAAATACAGAGATTTAACTCTATTTCAGTCTTAAATATGCATTCCGTATGTTTGTGTGTATAACTCAACGGACTCCAATAGGTCTCTAAATCTCCACACAATGTATTAGGAGATATTGATGAGTCCCCTTGTTGGAGTCCATAGTGATTCAAAGTGAGATTTACTGAATCCCCATGTGTGAAAGAACTTATCCTTGTAGCACAGGTGACATGGAGACAATCTTTCCCATGCTTTTATATTGCCCCTATTAGCCAGCAAACCTTTATTTTCTTTTTATTGACTGATTTTAGAAGGAAAAAATGAACATTTCTTCACTATTTTTAATCTATTAAACAAGAAGTCTTTTATCACCTGTAATGTTTGCCAGTTTTTTCACTGCAGCAATTAAAACACATAAATGACAGATAATTACAAGAATGAAGCATAGGCATACACATTGAAAGTCATTTTGTTTCAATCATTATCATAATTATTGATCAATTGTCTCACTATCTGAGGTCAACCTTCTCAATTTATAATAGTTGGATTTTTTAAAATTAACCAAACAAGTCTTATTGATCCTGTGGTAATTCAGTTGCTTTTGTTAAAATTTGTTGGGAGATTGTTAGTTTATAATTTTTTTCTTAACATATTAATATTTTATTACATCCTTAATTTAATTTGGAATATTTAAATAAATGTAATTTTATCATTGATATTTTAGTTTACTCTTATTTTAAAATTTTTAAGGTTTGCACGGGTACCTTTTATTCTATGTATATATTTAATCTTTTCCCAGTTCTTTATGTTTTACTTTGTATTTAAAAATTATGTTTTATTAATTGCTGGTCAATCTCTGAAATAAATTTGACTGATTGAATTTGATTTTTGAGCCTTTTTCTGCCTCAGTGAATCAAATTATGCACTCCTGAACAGGCCCTATTGCAATTCCTAATTGGGAAAATCAATATTTACAAAATCCTATCAAGTCTTTGGGATAAGACCAGAATGAATATTATATCAAGATTAAGGTACAGTTCAAAACACTGTATTAATGATTTTTTTTATGGCTGGCTAAATCCTCTTGAATATTCTTAGCCAAACTAAAGTTACCTTACACTGAAGATGGTTTCAATCTACCAGATTTTCAACTTTCGTCTGAAAGGAGATTTCTTATGAATATTCCTCTCTTTGGATCTGAAATCTTGGCAAATTTTAGGGTCTGGGTATATTAAACTGGTTTCTTGGTTTTCAGACTTGAAAACTGATAAACATATTTAGTTATTAATCCCTAAGGAGTTATGTTTTGATCCTGAATCACTTGAGAAAATGATGTTGTGCTATAACCCAAACTTTGAATAGCAAGCAAGATGTTTTCCTGGAATTCTTGGCTTAAATAACTTTGATCAGTTTATTTCTAATGATTGCTGTAATCCTGTTGCTTTTGCTCTTTGTCCAGCATTTAGATTTTAGTCTTGACATTCAGAATTTGATGGTATTAGAATTCTTGATATTTTCAGCCAAAGCTAAATAGGTGACCTTATTTTTGTCTCCTGGGCAGGAATGGACATTTTTTTTTTTTAACTTTTCCTTCCCAACAGGCAGTTAGCACTGGAATATAATTATTTCTGTCCTCACTGGAACAAATAATTTTGCTTTTCAAGAATTAAGAAAGAGTACTCACAATTAAATATTTTCTAGGTTTTGTAAAAATATAATTGCTGTACATAAAATTATACTTCACAAATTCAAATCAGTCTACAGTGTTTTTTTCTTAGCTCACTTTAATGTCCTCCCACCTGCAATTTTGGATGAAAAACATAATAACATATTATTATACTTGTCTCTGTGATGTGGAGGAGACCTCTCTGGTCTATATATTTCCTAGATGTTGCTCCTGTAGCGCCCTGAATTTCACTTACTAATAGTAATTCCATTAACTCTGAAAATGAGTAAATTTGTTTCTAAGGACTGGATTAGAACTCTAATATCTCAAGAAGATTTGCAAACTTCCTTCAATTACCATTCCTTAATGCAGAAAATGATTCCTTTTAAATCACAGTAATATAAAATTCTTGTTTTCTTTTTAAAATAACTTTTATGTTTTAACAATCAATGAAAAAGCAAGCAAGCAAGCAACAAGCAAGAAGTCATTTGCTCAAAAGCTTCATATTAGGTATATACTCCTTTTAGATTTTTTATTCACAAAGTAGTTTTTCATCCTTACTATAGAGACTGTAATAAGATTAACTATTTCTCCAAGATTTCATATGTTTATCTAGACTGCACTGGAAAGTCAGCACATCTCTACCAGCAGCAAGACAAACTATTGGAGAACATGCATGTGAGCTTTCCTCTCTCCATCCCTCCGTTGGAAGGATCTATTTAAACTATGGGAATGCAACTTCAGACCCCAAGAGATAGCTGCCCAGCCTTTGTTTGAACATATCTAGACAGGGTTTACATACCTCAAACATTGGAAAAAGGACTTCAACCCTCATTGTGGCCAGCAATCTGGCATCTCTCAGGCTTTCCTGAAAGAAAAGGAAACACAAAAAGCTAGTACTGCTTTAACAGCTTAATAGCTGTGAATGAACGGATGCCTTAAACCACCAGCAGCTTTTTTCAGGCGCTTGTGACAGCCAGAAAAAAAGAGTGGATTATTTAATGAATAAATCACTTTGTCTGAATCACAATAACAGAGTTGGAAGGGACCTTGAAGGTCTTCTAGTCCAACCCCTCCTCAAGCAGAAGACCCTATACCAGTCATGTCAAACTCGCGATGTCACGTGACGTTGCGCAACGTATCGGAGCTTTTTCCCCATTGCCGGCAACGGGGTGGGCGCGGTTTCCTGGTGACGCGTCCGGCCTGCGGGCCAGCAGTTTGACACCCCTACCCTATACCAGTCCAGACAAGTGACTATCCAGTCTCTTCTTAAAAGCCTCCAGTGATGGAGCACCCACAACTTCTGAAGGCAAGCCATGCCACTGATTAATTGTTCTCATTCTCCTTAGTTCTAGGTTGATTCTTTCCTTGATTAGTTTCCATCCATTTTTTTCTTGTCTTGCCTTCTGGTGCTTTTGAAAAATAGGTTGGCCTGCTCTTTTTGTGGCAACCCCTCAAATATTAGAAGACTGCTATCATATCACCCCTAGTCCTTTTCACTAGACTAGGAACCTTGGCTCTTTTATGACTTGTGGACTTCAATATCCAGAATTCCTGAAACAGCCATGCTGACTCAGGAATTCGGGGAGTTGAATCCATAAGTCACAAAAGAGCCAAGATTCCCTACCTCTGGATTAGACAAACCCAATTCCTGCAACCATTCTTCATATGTTTTAGCCTTCAGTCCCCTAATCATCACTGTTACTCTTTTCTGTACTCTTTTCAGAGTCTCTACCTCTTTTTTTTAAAATAATATGGTAACCAAAACTCAATGCGCTATTCTAGACGTGGTCTTACTAAGGCTTTATAAAGCAGTACGAATGCTTCACATGATCTTGATTCTATCCCTCTGTTAATGCTGTTCTCTGCTTGTCAGAGGAAATAGCGACCAGACAAGGTCCTATTTGGTCCAGCTTACTCCAGAGAAAGCCGAAAAGGTAATGGCTGCCTGGACAGGAAGAACCTTAGGAAGCAGACTTTATATCATAGTTGTAATGGGCCCTTTTATATATAAAGTGATTCAATTTGTCCTTCACAAGTGGTGCAAGATGAAGAAAAAGGGGGATAGTATTGCACCATAGAACCTGACAATGCTATTTCCCTCTATTTTTCTGGTGTCTAACAACTATAAGCCAAGATATCAGTTTGCAACAGAAACACTAGTTTTTTAAATAAAATCCCCCCATGGAAACATTACATTGTAAACATCCATAAAAGTCAGCCAAGATGGTTTGATTTATGTTTTATCAACATTCAGTCAAAGCTTCCTCTTGCCCTATTATATTACAAGGACTGCCCATTCATGCAGGTAGCAACATCATAGCTTACACACAAATGGACCAGTGTTTGTGTACCAATGAAGTGATGTTTCTTTCAATGATTTTCTGCCTCCACCCCCGTCCCCAGGCATCCTCTCCCCATTGGTTGAGTTTACACATCATCCTGAGAGTCTGCAAGCTTTGTTTTCCAAGAGGCACAATTTTAATTTACAATATGAAAGTAATTGTGCACTTAGTACTTACCACAACAATGCACCTATCCATTCTTTATGCAGGCTTTTTGTTGTTTACTATCATGTTGCTTGAGAAAAATATAGTGCTATAGTTCTGGAAATGGAGTGGATATTTTTGTAATATATCTGTATCCCAAGGATTTAACAGAAATCCTTGTAGTTCTACAACTATAATTCTAGTATAGGATGGTCAGGAAGCTGCCTAACACCAAGTTAGGACCTGATCCAGCTAACTCCATATTGTTGATGCTGATTGTCTAGCAATCTTCATTTTTATA